CAATTTTGCTATCCTATGCCTTTTTTTTCACACTGAGATGAAGTCCTTTCATCTGACTGTAGTATAGAACATTGTGTAAGAAGCACCCGAGCTCCAAGAGTTTTCCTCAAAATCTCTATAAATATAGTAGTGTCCCCTCATCCCTTATGTATGCTCCCTCTAATAACTTTTCCTTTTGAAAACATTTACCCCCAAAACATTAACCCTCTTTGTTCTAGGAGGTAGGTGCTGATACTCCTGCAGATGCAGAGCCAGCACTGTGAAGACAGTAACTTAGATACAGCCTACTGTAAAAGGGGAAATATCTGTCAATCAGTATGGCACCAATTGCCAACCAGCTGGCATAGATACAAGTCAGAGTGCTGAGGCAGGTACCTGGAGGCCTCTCTGTTGGGAACTTGGGGTTCCCAGAAGAGGGCCTCAGTTGGGAAGGGTCAGTTGACTAGGGTCAGTGGCTACTTACCAGCCAGCATGGGACTATTTCAATATTTTCACACCTGATTCAGACAGCCTTATGCTCCTGGCTGAATAGATGAATTGGATGAAGCCTGTTGTGATCACAACTATATATCTGGCATCGATACAGAAAAGGACCATTTTAAACCTAAGGATATAAAATGCTGAGCCATGCTTCTAGGAAGTACATTAAGCCAATTCTGATTTTGCAATTGGTTTTTAAGTTTTCTCTCAGATGGCATAGGAGATATGATATGGTTGTCAGCTTTTTGAGCTTTGCCCAGGCTTAAGCGGGAAGGAAGGAAAACTGAAGAAAAGAGCAGTAAAAGTCTGTTCCATGATCTGATGATTGCCTCATGGATACAATATTAATGCTGGGTGGCAACAAATCCAAATTATCTTTTACTTCTTTAAGTCTCATAGTTAATAATTCCTTACTGAAAGGAGGTCATGGCAGATCCACTACCAGAATATTCTGGGTACGCTGTGAACTTATTTTACCAACATGGCTAATTCCTTTGGAAGGAGACTCAGCATAGGATGGGAGTTGTTTTTCTGAGTGGGTCCTGTGTACAAATCAGTACCTACACCTGGAATCTGATGGGAGTGTCCTGGCCCTAGCTGCATTCATCCTTTCCAGAAGAGGATACCAAACTCAGGCTGGCACGATGAAGACAGCTGGCTTTCTCATGTTAGCTTTGTTGCCACACACCACTGACAGGACTCCCTGCCAGCAGCTGTGGAGACTTCCTGGCCTGCCATCTGCCTCCTGGATGCTTGGCTTGGAGGACAGCCATTGTCGACTCTTGAATTTGCTTACAACAGGCACTACAAGCTTTTATAGCAAAATGGAAGGAGATCCATCCTCACTGTGCTAACACCCACATGAGACATCTACCAAGACAGGAACATTCTAAATAGATGTGCCCATGTTTAGATGATGACTGTCTCCTGCTTTCTAAACCAGGTTTTTATTACCTTTGCTTAATATTTCAGTTTTCTGTTCTCATTTGTCAATAGACAAATCACCATTGTGCACTCATTACGCAGCTTTGTCAATAAAGTATTCCTGGTTAATCTCCTTTTACATAATCTCTACCTAGATAAGTTAAATACTTCCAATCTTACTTTTTGCTTTTTTTTTTCTTGAAGACCTGATTTTGTTTAACAAAGATTTGGTGGAGTAGATCTATCAGAATGATAATGGTTGAAGTTGCCTCTGCCTTTAAGTGCAGATGTTACACAGGGAGGTAGAGGTGTGTATATGAGAACACAGAAAAGAGGAATTACAGGTAAATCCAGACTGTCACTGTTTCATGGCAAGAACGTCCACAGAATGCCATTGGATTGAGTGAGAACTTTGAGAAACAAAAAGAAGTAGGAGGAATATAGCCAACCCTAGGGAAGAATAATATACTATCTGAAAAAGAAAAGAGAAAATGGATGGTATCACCAACCAACCTGAGCAAGGATAGAATCACAAAGGCACACATAGTCACAAAAGCACAGGGTGTAAATATGAATTCTCTGAGAACAGTAATAGGCTAAACCCATTGGCTAAAATCTGTTAACACTGACTTTTTATTTATTTTTCCTGGAAACAAGTGATAATACCTGCACAAATTTCATGAATCAGTGTTTCCCAGAAGCCATTGTTGTCTTTTCTATGTAACATCCCATCAAGTATTCAATCTGAGTATTCTAGTTATGATTCTGTCAGAGTGGAACTGTTTCAACTTAATTTGAGTGGTTAATATTTCCAGAAAAATCACACGCACACGTGTGCACACACATACACACACGTGCACACAAGTCTGGTGTACTCCCTTAAGCAAGTTTACAATATCTTTGGGATGTCTTCCCCTCACCCCCAAAAGCACACCCAAAATTAAATGAAACTAAATCCTCATACCTTTATTCATTCAACAAATAGCCACTTAATATCTAGTGTGGATTCCTAGAGCCTTTATCATGTGAGAAGAGTGGGGTGAGCCCAGGGTGCAGGTGGCTGCAGGAGCAGATGGTGTGGAATTAGAAGAGCCAGCTAAGTGGTCCTGGTGCTGAGTAACCTCGTGGGCTGCAGGCAGAGGGGTTCAGGGCTTGGAGGCATGCGGAAGGTCCAACAAAGAGGCAGTAGACAGCATGAGCCCATCTTCCAAGAAGCTCCTGAATTCACTTTCCAGCCCTTTACTTATTGATGCTGGAGATCTTGGGCAAGTTGACATCTTTCCATCTTGGTTCCATGACTGGTATGTGCATGGTAGCACCTCCCTTTAGAGCAGCTGTAAGTTAAAGTGTGACCTAGTCTAAGTGGTTGCCATTATCATTATTGTCTTTGGAAATCAGGACCAGCTGCTTGGTCGACTGGGGAAGACTTAGGACCAGCTAGCAGAGCACCTGAGGCTGTGAGCCATGAGCTGGGGCAAGGTGCCCCCTCATCATGACGCTATGCTCAGGGACGCTGACAAAAGGTGGTGAATGGCTGGACAAGTCCTGAAGGGACAGCAGAGTTCTTTGAGTGTGGGAGAGGTGGTTCCAGGAGAGGGAGGACACTGTCTGGCATGTGGGCAGCAGCAGCGAACAGAGCCCTGAAGGAGATGGGCAGATTCAGAGCTGTCCTGAAGGAACAAATAGACTTTGATTTCATTTCTTTGAATCCTAGACTTTCCAGAGAAGACCTTCAAAGTCATGTTCTTCCTTTAACAGATTAAGGTCAAAAAGGGCAAGGCCAAGCCCAGGGTCACACAGCTTTTCTGAGCTTGGGGACCAGAAGAAAACCAGGGTTTCTGTGTTCCAAGCTCTCCCCTTCCTTGGCCTTTGCTGCCTGTCTTGTTTAGGAAATGAGATGATAAATGCGTCCTGAGCATCCACCCACCTACTCTGTGCAAGGCAATAGACTGCTCCCTCTTGGACAAGGAAAGAAAGACTCCTAGCCAAGGGATAAATTGCTTCAGTGCTGCCATTTCTGAATGGTGACTAAAGTTGTTACTTATATTCAAACTTCTTGTAAGGTCAGAGAATGACAACACATTATTCACCCTGGGTTGTTTGCTAAGAAAACACACAGTTTGTATGTTGGCCTGAACCCAAGTTCAGTTTGAGAACTCTCAAATTGCAGCTTTCAGAGTTGTGGGCAAGGGTTAGAGATACAGAGATGTGATAAGAAAGGAGCCTAACAGATGTATACAAAACTAACCATTTGTTAATTGCATGGGAGAAAAGTGGTTTTCCCTTATGCGTTTTGTTTAATTCCTTTCCTTGTACTGTAAAGGGGATGCAAACGCAAGGCCCTAGTGATTTGGCCATCTTTCTTTATTTTTTTTTTTTGAAGGACTTTAGAAGTACCTTTCCTAACCTTATCAAAGTGACGAGGCACATTGATGCTTTGAGTAGGCATTCATAAACATCAGAATTAGGACATTTTTAAGCTAGGAGCCTCAAAGAACTAGTTAAGTGACTTGCTCTCCAAAAGAAATGTTCCTATTACCAAGAATTATGGGTGAAGTGTATTCAAATCTAGGGGAAGTATTATGAATTTTTTGAAGGCGATTACTGGTAATGTGTCTTATAGTAAAATTATTTTAAAAATTTAAACAAAAGAAATGTCTCTTTGTAATACTGTTTTCTATTTATTTCAAGGAGAAAATTTCAGTCACATTTTATCCAAGGCTTAGTCTTTTTTTTTTTTTTTGCTAGTGGGCTCTGTTTTCATTTTTCTTTGTTTCCTTGTTACTTCATAATGAACTTTTGAATTTATTTAAACTTGAAATCATCAAAATGAAGTTAAGGAGCTGTTTTGCCTGTGTGTGTCCTTTTAAAGGGACAAGTAGACGAAAAGTGAGGCAAAATGGTTTCTTAGGTTTACTGAGGCTCAGCCGAGATACCGAGCAAATGACTAAATTTTTCTTTGCTTTAGTTTCCCCCATTTGTAAAACAATTTTAATAATACCTGGGACTGCTGCCTGTGAAATCATTTTATCCCCTCTGAAAAAATGAGCTATCAAAAGATGATATGTGATTAAGCAATACATAGCTCTTGATTTGTATGAGAGTGCCAGGTTTAAGCAATAATGTTTTGGCCAGCATTCTGAAGGAAATAACTCAATTTTCACAATCCCTTGGGCTTACCAGCCCGTGATGACCACAATAGCTACATGCTTGAATAAAATACAAATTCTTCTCCAGCATGCTGGTTCTCAGTGTTCCAGGCAACAAACTACATAGATGGTTGTTCGGCTTCACATTTTTTGAAGGGGAGTCTTGTCTCATCAGATACGCATTCCACAAAATTACCTTAAGATTTGTTTCACCATTACAGTAACATTCTCAGCTGCCCACGAATCAAGTGGATGAAAGCAGAGCCCATCAGAAATCGTTTCTGGTTGACTATCACTTTTCAAAGTATATGTATATGTGAGATAGCCTTCATCTCTCCCCAACTACTGTTAGAAATAATTAATGATGTATTATGAGATGCTTTTCATGCCAAAGAGTTCCAAGCTCTTTGCAAATGCACATATAAACAGGAATTACTTCACCCTCCATTGAAACGCAACCACCTCTTGGCTGAGATGAGGCAGCTGTTTAATAATGCATAGCAACATTCCAAAACAGCGGAGGCCTGGAAGTGAGCAGCAAACTCACGTCCAACTCAAGTCACCTGAGACCTTTCCTGGGCCGACTTGTGCTGTTAGGGAGCTTTCGCAACCATAGGAGGCCAGGACATCAGTTTTATGCCTCCCTAGGAAGGCCAGCTCCCTCTGTTCAGCACTGGCTCATGGTCCCCTGCTAAATCATCCAGGTCCTATACTGCAAGCCGGTCCTCTGAAGTAAGGCCTATTTTCCACTCTGGCTGCTGGAGGAGACTAGGCCATGGTGGCTTGAATCCTGCAACAGAATTTGGGTGTGAGAATGGCCTATGGTAGTAGAATGTAGAAATGCATCCAGTCTACAAAGCATGCTCTCCAACTCTAGAAACATTACCCACATACTCATCAATTTTGAAGCTGTATTGTGCTTCGTGTCGACCAGTCTCATGGGCCACATGATAATCAGACCCTCCAAAATATCTCTCTGGCTACCAAAAGTGGCTTCTCCTTTGGGCCAAAGCAGAACTCACTTTATAAGTAGATTCATCTTGCCTTGTTCTTCTATGCTGGGGCCTTGGTGGTTCTTGGCTTGTATCTTCCTCACCCAGGCCCATGAGTCTTTGCAGTTTGAGTGCACATAAAACCGTGTGCTTTGCCTACCTCAAACATTCTTATATGAACAAAAAGGGTTTGAATCGTAGAGTCTAGGTAAACCAGAAGGAAACAGCAGCGGTGGGGACAACATCTATCAAACATTTGTGTAGCCGGTGTCTTGGGTCACAGCATTGGCAGGCAAAGCCACTGCCTTTCCACCCTGACTTATTCCCTGAGCCCAGCCATTCTGTCTTCTCAAACACAGGAGGCAGGACTACTCTTCCCACTCACCTGGTGACAGTCCCAATTCTCCATGGCTAATTCCACATTTCCCAGTCAGGTCCAAATTAAATATTGATTTTACTAATTTTAAATTCTTTCCCCCATGACACACTGTACATTTTTGGAGGACATTCTGAAGAACTATTTTGACTGATCATTAAGGGACTACTTCTCCCAGATGAGATTTTGTGGTGGTGGGATTTGGGGGAGCAAGAGACATGTCTGCAGTCATTTTCTCTGGGGAACAGCACAGCCCTCACCACCAGGAACGCTGTCACTAACCAGGGATTTGGAGCAACTGTAAAGACTCCATGATGTTGTGAAGTCATGCATGTTTAGGTCATCATCTCTTCTTTTCACCTGTCACATTTAACCGTTCCGAGTCCTGCTGGTTTGTGTCTCCCTCAGTCCTGCTTTGGATACACAGAATTCCTCACTTGAGCTGTCACTAGAGGTTCCAAATGTCCCCTTTTCAATTTCCTTTTTATCAAAGCCATATGTCATTCCATTCTTATAGCTTGTAAGAACAAAATTTCAACTAATCAAGTTTCAAGATCAAATTGGCTTTTTACTAGTAATCCATGAATTGGGCAGCATTTTACCTAAAGATTTAGAGAGGTACTTCATCGAGTATGGTAGGACTATTGGTTTTTATTAAGTAGCTTAAGCAGGAAGAAGGAAATGGTGTAGTAGGAAGAACAGATTTGCTATTCTCAGTGTGGCAGAGTGGAGTGTGAACTTGATTTGCTTTGGCATCCACTGGGGAATTGGAGAATCATACTTCTGAGGGTGTCTGGGTGAGTCATGGAAGAATGGCCTTGGGGTCTACATCAGTTCCCTTGCCCCTTCTGCTCTGGCACTGCTCCCTTGCTCTGTTTCTGGCTGCTATAAACTAAGTGGCTTTACTCCACTACATCATAATGTCTCTGCCTTAGAGACTGATGGCCCCAAAACTGTGACCAAAATTAAGTTTCTCCTCCTTTAAGTTGTAGATGCTTGGTATTGTGTCTCAGGATGGGAAATCTGACTGATAATAGAAAATTGATACAGGGAGTGGGGATGCTGCTGTGCCTGTACCTGACTATGTGGTTCAGAAGCCTTTGCAACTGATTTGTGGAAGGGGTTTGAAAAGGTTTGGAGATGCAGGATAGAGGAGACCCAGAATGCTGTAAGCAGAGCTTGAGGGGTAATTCTGGTTGGAGCTTAGAAGACCAGGATGCTGATAAGAAGGCAAAGAGTACAGGCCAGGCTCAGAAGTTTCGGGTAGGAGCAAGGATTCCATTAGCCATTGTGCTATAGGCATGCATGTTACAATATGGCACAAATTATGTCTATATATTGCCCATGTTCTAAAACTGCAGGGGATTGGGATGAAGGGTGGAGGACAAATTAATGTTGCAGAAGAAATTTCAAGGAAGTTTAACATTCAGGTTGTGACATGGGCACTGCTGTCTGCTTTTAGACAGATCTACAGTAAGAATCAGGATGAAATGGTAGAGTTGAATGATTTGAAAACTATCAGTTTCACCAGAAAGGAAGGCCTGCAAAGTTGGAGCAGAGGAGACCACTGTTTCTAAAAAGATTAGCATTAAAAAGAAGCCAAGTATTTTGTACAGGCACAAGAAGAAATATTCCTTGAGAGTACCTCAGATACCAGCAAGACCCCAACTTGTAATAGGCTCAAGGATGCAAAACTGTAAGTCTTTCATTTGAGAAGAGAATCCCTGTCATCCAGGGAATTGGTTTTCTGGGACTTACTTCACCATGCTTAGCCATCCAGACACTCAGAAGCCTCTACCACCATGATTTAAGGGGCTAATACTTGAGCAGATGGCATCATTCACTCGGTGCTGGTTTTATAGGAATGCTGAATGTAAGAGTTATGGGAGTCATGGAGGTTTACATCCAGATTTCAGAAGAAGGCCCTAAGAGGTCAGATGGTGTGCCCCTGAAAGGGTAGTGTGTGAAGCTGTGAGAGTGAAGCCAAAAATGCAGTGGAGACCACAGGAAGTTGGAGATAGCAAGAGCATGGAACATCTGCTGAGGAAAGTCACAGGCAGTGAGTGGAGTCATCCGAAAGAGAGGCCGTGAGGGCTGCAACTGGCAATGTCACAGGGACAGGACTGGCCAAGGCCTTTGGAATTCACACCTCACGACAACTGACCCTAGGTAATGGGAACAGAACTACAAGACTGAATTTTTCCCAGCTAGATTTCAGTTTTCCTTTGGACCAGTTCCTTTCTATCCCCCTCTTCCTCCCTTTTGTAATGGGAATATTCACCCTGTGCTATTGGAAATATTTAACTTTTTATTTTCATAGGGACTCACAGCTAAGAGCTTGTTATGAGTCTCAGAGAAGGCTTTGGATTTGGGCTTTTCAGCAATCCTGGAACTATTAAGACTTTGGTGACTCTTAAAGACGCACTAAATGCATTTCAGAATGAGATGAACCTGAGTCTCGTGGGAGAAAGGGACAGAATGTAATTGTTCAAATCTAAAATGTCTCCCTAAAGCCTTGTGTATTTAGAAGGTGATTGGATCATAGGATCACTGTACTCATCAGTGGACTCATCCCTTGGTGAGTTCCATAGCTGAATGGGCTGTTGGGTGGTGTGGCCTGGTTGGAGGCAGGTCCATAGTGACATGACTTAGCATACTGTACTGTATTCTTGCCCCCAGCTCTTTCCTTCTCTCTCTGCTTCCTCACTGTCATGTAGTGAACAGCTTTCTTCTACCATGGTGTCCTGCAATGCTATTCCTGCCTTGGAGCCAGCTGACCATGGACTGAATCCATGGAAACTGTAAGCCAAAACAAACCTTTCTCCTTTAAGTTATGGGAAGGAGCTATGAGAAAGTGACTAAAACAGAATACAAATAATATGAAGCAGGCAGTGGAGAAGGCAGAGGGCAGGGACTTCCTCATATATCAGTAGCAGGAGGAAATCTGTCCCTCAATATCTAAGCTGGCTTTTCCCTTCTATCTTCCAGGAAGAGACAGCATAGCATAAGGAGATATAATATGGTCATGTGCTGTTTTTGATCAACCACAGACTCATATACCATGGTGCTCCCATGAAATATTATCACCTAGTGTAGTTATCTTAGTTTGTACATTCTGTTATGTCTACACAATGATGAAAACCATTTAATGAATTTTTCAATCAATGTCCCTGTCATTAAGTGATATGCACCTATATCTTGAAAGTCTCCATGAACAATAGAGGGTGTTTATGTTCATAAGGTCTGTGTGTTAGGAATAAACTCTAAGGTCCTATTGTTATGCGGGTCTGTCAGGAGCCATGGCATAGATAACACACAAGTTACCGGACTGTTACTTCATGCCAGTGCATTTGTCTGTGAAATCATTTCTGTGAGGAAGAACTGAAGGAGGCAGCAAAGTTTGATCGAATGTAGTCTCTTGCTTTGACCTTCAAGCCTGAAGTCTGTGCTGAAATGTGGTCTTGGTGCTTGTGACATAGACCAAAGGCCCTTTTTTTTTACCCTGTCTCCTTTTCCTCTGCTCCCTTCTTGCTGCCACCATGACCTGTGTCTCCAAGTTAATTCCACTGACAATTGTTGGGGACCTGCTAGTATGCTTTCAGGGGTCACAGCTTTCTGTTGCTTGAAGACTTACATACAGGGACAGCTCTACACACCTTCCTTTCCACTTCCCTTGGAGTCAGTGGGATATGTTTGCTCACCTAGTGGCATTGCTATTGTAAGGAATTTTCTAACCATGAATAGCAAACATTCTCTGTGTTCATAAAGAAATCCAGATCTCATTCTGGACATGAGGCAAAGACCTCAACAATCGCATAATAGGAATTTCTCTCCAGTACTATTTGAGTTGGAATCAGAGGGGGCTGACTCTAGTGTTTGGGATTAGCCTGAGAAAGTAACCATAGAAAGGGATGTTGGGGTTTAACTGAAAGCATTGGCCAGAAAATATGGTGTCTGGTAGCTGCTTACTCTCCCTTCCTAGATGAAGCTTAAATGTGTGTGACTAGGACATCCTCCATGACTGATTTGGAGATTCTTCGTGGAATGCATGCCCTGTTGCAGGCAGTGGGCTGGGAGTAGGGTGTGCAAGATGAGCATGCTGTGGTTCTGCCCTGGGGGACCTCACAGGGGAGGTGGTGTGAGACTTTCAAGCACACACTGGTAAAGCTAGCTCACCTGCATGGTAATTATACATTTCACACAGGCTTAATGAGATGGTAGACACACAAGGTAAATGTGGCATAATGGCTTAAAATTGAGGCAAGGTAATTTCTTATATGCTGTAGGTATTAACATTTAGTGACCCAGACAAACATCTTTTAAAACCTTTCTGTGAGTCATTTATAATACACTAAACTTAATCTGAAAGCAAAAATGTCATCCTAGCATTCACAGGATCTTTGCTTCAACCTATCCACCTTGATTATATCTTTCAGGAGTATTTATTTGTACACTTACTCATGTAAGCATTTATTTAGTATTTTAAATATGGAGAATATACTTATTCATTGGCAAAACAAATGAAAACAAACCCCAAATGTTAAGTTATCTTATTCTCCAGGATTCATCTATGTTACAGAAAATAGATTTGTTTTCTTTCTTAGTAACACTTGATCTGTTTCAGTGAGTCTTGTAGGTTTCCCCCTCTTACTCTGCAGCCACCATGGGCAATTCAGCCACATTGTGTGTGCAGGGTGCCTTTGTATGTGGACTGGCTGTGACACAGCTGGCTTGCACCTGGGTCAGATAAGAGTGCACTTGTGGCTCCACAGAGATCTTTCCTGGCCCAAGCTGAATTGGAGACTTTGTGTGTGCTTCTCTGTCACCTAGGTGCCCCTGCCCCAACACTCTTGGCTTGGCTGCTTCTCAGAAGAGCCAGGAGCCCTACAGGCAGCTTCCACAAAGCCTGCCTCAGGGAGGACGCTCAATAATGTGCTGACTGACTCACTGGCTCAGTTACTTTTCTCTTGTTGCTGAGACAAAATATATGACACCAAAGTAAGAGGGGAAAGGGTTTATTTAGCTCACAGTTTGTAGAGGTTTCAGTCCATAATCAGCTGGCTCCAAGGCAGGGTAGCAGATGGCAGGGGAGAACAGTTCATGGCAGTGGAAGACAGCAAAAGCAACAAGTGACCTTCACAGTGTCTTCCTGCCTCTTTTGTGTCACTCAGACTACTTAGGGAAGGCAGCATTCACACCCTTAATCCTAGTGCCCTTGGGCCAAGCATTGCACCATGAATCAATCACACACTCCAGATTCAGCCACCTCTGAAACAGCCCCAGCTCATTTTCATGAGGCTTTGGGGGTTATCTAAACACAAGCCATAACAGTGACTAAAGAAAAGGAAAGTTTTCCCTCAGATTCTCTCCCACGGCGGGGAGATGTCTCGGAAGAGGAGAATGAGGTGTGAGTAAAG